ATTCATCCATACACAATATATTTGTCGTTTTTTTTTCTCAATAATTTCTCCTTTTTCGTAACTTCTGTTTATATGTTTTAGAAACCATTTTAGAAGTAAAGAATCACAAATTATATTATAAATAAATAATATAGTAGTATAGCTGGTAGTATGGCCTACTACACAGTGGCGGATTAAGGGGTAGGCTAAGAGGCTATAGCCTGGGGCGGCCTTTTTGGGAGGGCGATTTTTTTTTTAGAATTAAGAGTCATTATTGACTTATTAGGTATATTTATTTTAATATATATATATATATTTTATTTGTAATATAAATAGGAATAACAATAATTTTTAAAAGTTTTAATGATATATTATGTACATTGTAGGATTCGTACCTATAGTAAGGATATTACAATATTAAATTTGAAAACACTTCATGTGTCATAAAATAATCACAATATTAGTTACTAGTTATTATTAATAACTTATTAGTATGTACATATTGGGAACATCCGACTATCTAAAAATATAACAGTTGGGTGTTTATTTATTTTCGGAAAGGATATCAGTAATAGGTACTTGTTCTCAGTAATAATTGACATTATACCCGCAACACGTTCTACGGTCTGCGTCTGCCTACGACCACGTGTTTTATAATGACTATTGATAATATAATATTATTATGTCCAAGACCAATAAAATAAACCTTTTATTTCTCACATTTATAATTTAAATTTATTTGAGTATTAGCATTTGACGAGTGTCGACGGTTGACGGAAAGACGAAGAGCAGTTTAAAAGGTAATAAAGTATATTCCTACTTATTCGTTATTTTATTTAACCTTCCACTGGACAAGCTTTTGAAAATAATACTCAAATTTTGTATTTGTAGATCTGTTTTTCTAACTTTATTTATTTCCTACTTTTGTTGAAGTTTTAATTTTGTTTCATCACATACATTATAATATAAGTTAAGTCGTGTAGCATGTAGCGTTACCACCTAATTTATTAATAATACATTTTTGTTAGTAATAAATTATTATACAAATAAACGATAGTTCGTATGGCTATAATAGTACCTTTAAAATATTATATATAACTATATAAGTATTATTCTGGATCGCATAAACATATTGTAAATTTGCTTATAGTAATATTTTATATWTTTTGTTTTTTGTTTGAACATACTTGTCTTGTATACAGTATTATAGTGTATCAGTATACAGTGTACTTGTCCTATTTATATATTTTAGACTTTGATACTTAAATTATTTATATTTTAATGTATGTCTAATTCTATAAGAGTTAAGCAAATTCAAATTTTATTCTGTTACGTCCCTATAGGCTATAATAAATTAAGGTTCATGGTACAGTAAATTTATATTTTATTTTTATTTAATAGATGTAGGTACATTTACTATTAAATCATGTTAGAATTGTTTCTGAAATTACTTCTCTTTTTATAAAATAAAGCTCACCCGCGAGAAGTTTATAATTACAATTTATTAGTTTAAAATATCATATTAATACAATATATTAAGTTTTAATTATTTTATCATAAATTAAAATCATTATAATTTTCATAAAAGTAATTCTACATAAATAAATAAAGGTTAGGTTTATATTTTAAATCGGTTTATTTTGTTTTTGAAAAATAGTTTCGCGGTCATCTCAAAATGAAAAAAACAAAATTAAGTGGTGCGCAGTATAGACAAATATCAAAACAAAAAAATGAAAAACAAAAAAAAGTAATCAGTTAAACTAAAAAATTGGATTCGTTTTTTACTTCTTGCAATACAAATTATTCAAATATATCTGAACATTCTGAACAAACAAATTATTTAAATAACCCTGGTGTAGTTTGTACGTACGTGAAGTTGGCACCCCGACTTTGTCGTATCGTCCCCAAACCAATACCATATTTTTGCAAATAATTTGCAACACCAGAAAAAAAATTTGCAACATAGTTTTACAACCCCCACAATAAAACATGTTTCGGGGTGCCAA